GTTTTCACAGAAACCAAAATTACCTTTCTTAGAGAGTGGACACTCTACAAAGTTTTAATACTTTCAGAAGGCTGAATATCATATGGAATCTGCAGGTAATGTTGTAAAAAATATACCCATTCACACCTTTCTCCTCTCTTCTTGTGTGTGATTGTCTCCTATAAGGAATCAACAAATATATAAGCAAAGACTAAGGAAATGAAATTGTATCATTTGTGACAACATGAATTGGAGTTCATTGTGTTAGTTGAAAGAAGTCAAGCAGTAATTTCAGTCTTGCATGTATTATTCAGAAGTTACTATTTTGCTAATTGGAACTAGAATGATGATCACTTCAGCAGACACTAGGAATGGGGCACATTTTTAGAATAATGTTGCATAGCTTACTCTCGCTGCCTCATCCATAAACATTTCCCTTGGGTTGTTGTTCTTTGTGGAATAATTTCCAATGCAATAGATCTTGTTTGCTCAAAAATCATGACTGCTTACCATCAATCTCATCAGAAGATATAGTCAAAGAATTTCTAGCTACATCTCTGTCTAACTTTATTCCATGAGTTATGTGTCTTTATCTTAATTTTCTTTAGTTAAACTTTACAGAAATGCGAATTAGAAAAGCATATTTTAGTTGGGTGCAGACTTTGACCGTTAGGCTGAAAGTCAAAGTAAGAATATGCAGGTATAGGTGGAACCAAGAAGGGAGGCATGTCAATAAAACTCTACATCATCCCTGAGTGATGGATGCAGGAAACTCCCATTCCACCAGTTCTTACAACCATGTGATTGACAGCCATCCTCCCAATACAGCTTCCAAATCACTGACTCTTCTTCACAGTTGTCTACCTGAGGCTTCCCAACATATCTTGTGGATTAGATGATGAGTAATTCTTGAGATAGGATGAGATTACAAGTTGCTGATTGTTAAATGATTTTAAAAAGGTCTTTGTTTCCTGACAGTTGTGAAAGGCTACCTTATTCCTTGTTCCTTCTGTCGTGTTTCAGAGGTGTGGTTTTATTTCTTCTGTGACAGGTCCTCCCTGCTTTTCTCCTAGGGAATTTAGAGTTGCTTTATCATAGCATTTCCAGTATAGTTAGCTCTCCTCTTCTTTCTTTCTGTCCCTCCACCATCAAGATATCATACACACTTCCTCTCTTTTTCTGAGAACATTAGTACCCTTGTACATTTTCTCATATAACTATAAAGTAACTGATATTTGTGTTTGTTTGTATAGCTACTACAACTATGAGTATATAAATATGGATGACTTTTCTGTTTTAATATAGCTTGATGCTTTCCTAATATCCTTACATTTTTATTGGTTTAGTCAAATATTTTAAAAACATCCAACTTTATTTTTCTATTTGCAATGGAGCTTAAACACAGCTACAGTCTCAGCATAAGTGCACTGAAGTAAAAGAGATGCACCTTCCAATGGAAGAATGCCCCATATCCATCCTATAAATACAAGATGCCAGCATGATCTTCTGATTTTCAGAGGATCTGGGTTTCATTGTGGAACCAACATAACAGTTTAGATATTACGGACTTTGATAAGCAGGGTATTCTTTCAACACTAGCATAGGCTTCTTGAGCTGGAAGCAGGAGAGTAAGAGGAACTAAGAACCCTTGTACTCTTAGTTCTGGTGCTGTTTGCCACATAGGTGCATTCCAGGAATTGAAAACCTAGCACTCTTGGCTGTTGTATATTTCAGGTGTATTCACGTAAAGCCTTTTTCTGACCTGTGACCTGCAAATGACCCCCTGATAGTATTCCTCATATTCCCCTCTAGTGAGTCCTTCCTTTGCCCTTCAACTAGAAGGTCCAATTCCTGATAATTGTCCCTCCAGGTGGAATCTGAGGATCATCTTCATCTCCTCATTTCAAAGAGGATGGAACCAGATTATAACAGTTTGTCATGCCTGTTAAAGCTCTGTTCCTTCTCCTTGTTTAGAATTAGCATCCCAAATGATGACAGTTCTGCTGAACATGTACCGGTGGGACACTGGTTCATCCCAGCATAGAAAGAAACTTAACAATTGATATTCATCTGCCCAACCAAAGGAACAAATTCACACAAAGAATTCCATCTGCTTCATGTAAAATAATGACAGTTTTCCTTTAACAAAACTTTGATTATGTTTCCTTTGAATCAAAACTGTGGGAAGTGGTGCCTTGGGTTATATTTTAAAACTCAGGAAATACTCTTAATTGTACTGATATATGTTCAGATCATGTTTCTTCTGAAATTTAATAGAAATGGTGAGAAGTCTCATTTCACACACAAGCGGGGGGATGGTGGTAGGTGGTGATGGAAGTAAAATGGTTATTAGTTATTCTGATGTCTGATTCTATCCCTAAGTCTCTGCCCTACCTGGGTCACCAAATATCTTATATTAAGTATCCTGATTCTAATGGAAGATAGGTAGAATCTTTAGGCTTCTGACACTGTAATGATAGACTATGGTTAGGGATTTCAAAGAGTAGGCAGAGGGGAGGTGTTGTCTCACCTCCCTGTCAGAAACACCTTATAGGTTAGTAAAGAGCATTACAAAGTGCATCAAGTGTACTCTCAGGCACTATAAATATCTGGTTGTAAAAAGAAGATTTCCAAACATGTGGTTAGTTTTCTTCTTTCTTGGATGGAAATGAATAGAGTGACCTAATAAGAATCCATTTGTTTTCTCTCATGAGCTGATAAAGGGTGGAACTGGGTTGTCAGGTCCTGATTAAGACAAGAAAAAGCAAGGCATCAAGAAAAGCATCTGTGGATGGCACTGTGTTATCTATGTAACTGCCTTTTGGGTTTCTAGGAAAAGACCTGTGTTCTGAACCTGGGTTACCTCATCATGTCCGATCAAAAAATCATGTAATAAGTTGATAGATTTATCCATTTTATCACATGACCACATACATAATAGTTTACCTTCTACTTGTTGAACAATCAGATTACCCTGCAGTACTAATTCTTTCATTGTGGGACATCTTCTAGGAAAGAGGGAAAATGGCATGGTGTGTGGAACACAGCAAACTCCATATGACTTTTCTGGATCTCTATTGGGCATGGAAATTTCCAGAAGATGAAAGAGAAAATGGAAATTCAGTTTCCCTTCTTACTCAGTTAATCTTTTCTTCATTTCCCTGATCAGCTGTCCAAATTATTATGACACCAAAATATAAGGCTATTTTGTAGCATATGTGACAGATAATGATGTTTCAAACCAGGCACCCTGATATCAAATTCTTCTCAATCATCAATTCTCACTTTAAAGTATGACTCCAAATATTACCCACTGTTAGTGTTAATGTAACACCTAAAGAGAATATGTATATAAATTTTTGTCTGCTTTTGTCACTGTAAACATTGACACAATTTTTATGGCATATGGAAAATTTGGGTACTCTAAGTATATGTTAGTAGTTCTACCTTCTCTTATGATTCTTGTCCTTCAGCTTTCTATATTTCTGTATTCTTCTTACTACCACTAATGGCACTGTGAAAAGTGACAGAAGACATTGTAAAGAGCAATAGAAGGGAGGGGATGGTATCAGCTTCATTTCTGGAAATAGAAAAATGAATATAAGCAATTCAAAGTGTGGATGTTACATGTTTCTATGGTGACATTAGTGGACCTGGCATTCAAGACTAGCTCAGGTGATAGTCTGAGTCTAATCTTTGCTTCTTTTACACGTTGATTCTCTTAAGGCCTCTTAGCTTCACTGTAATGTTTAAGGTTACCCATTCCAGAAACAGCAGCTAGAGAATTGTACAGCATTTGGGCTCTTGAGTCTCTGCTAATGTGAATGTGTCATGAATAACATCAAAGTGACAGGTTTATTTACCCATGGCCTCTCTAAAACATCTTACTTCTCTTTTGACTAGGAAGCCAATTCCATAATGGGACAACACCAAAATAAAAAAGCCTTGAAGTGATACTCACTGACCAGTATAGCTGCAATAGCTGAGAATGTAGACTAGACCATAATGGAGAGATGGCTCAGAGGTTAAGAGCACTGACTGCTCTTCCAGAGGTTCTGAGTTCAATTCCCAGCACCCACACGGTGGCTCATAATGGTTGACTTTAGACATGTCATGATTATTTTCTAATCTTTTGTTTTCTCATGTACCAAGTGAGAATAATGGTAATAATTACTGCACAGCCAGCTCTACAGTAAGAACTGAAACTATCAGTTACTACCTGAAGATGACAAAGTTAATGTATTTATATCAGTAAATTCCCCTAATGCCACAACAAAATACCTGACCGAAGCAACTTAAAGAAGATCAGGAATCTCACAGCTGGAGGGGAGAGCCCATTATGACATGAAAATTATGGAAGCAGGTATTTCCGGAGAATGCTGGTCACACTCCATCCACAGAAACAAAGAGCAATGAGTGCTAGTGTTGAGGTTGCTCCTTTCTTCTTATTCTGTTCAGAAGCCCAGTCCATGGAATGCTCCTTCCCACAGTTAAGGTGGATCTTCCTACTTAAACTAATATAATAGAAATAATCACCATTTCCCAGAGACTTGTCACCTAGATGAGTCAAGACCCTCAAGTTGACAGTATTATTCATCACTATCATCAGCTTTGAAGACATTTATCCCTGGTTTATTTCACTAGAAATGCAAAACCATTTATTTACTTATAATCCCTAAGGTTTATCACAGTGAAAAATAAAAAAATAGTGTTTGTTGACCATACATCTCCCTTATTAATTGAATTGGAGCCTTTACTATAGTTTAGCCTGTGTGTGTGTGTGTGTGTGTGTGTGTGACAGAGAGAGAGAGAGAGAGAGAGAGAGAGAGAGAGAAGAGAGAGAGACAGAGAGAGAAAGAGAGAGAATTTGATATTCATTCATGTATTCTATTAATGGACACAAATAAATAAATCTTCTAGTCTACAACCTATTACTGATCCTTTTTCCCCCCTGTTATTTATTCTCCATATGGTAGCAGTAGTCTCTGTGAGATCTGACCTTCTCATTTAACTCTGTTTAGGGTTTGATGCTTACTTCACATCCCGCACACTTGAGAACAACAGGAGAAATGTATGGTTTGCTGAATACTGGGAAGAAAACTTCAACTGCAAGTTGACAATTAGTGGGTCCAAAAAAGAAGACACGGATCGCAAATGCACAGGTAATTTCATTCCCATTGTCCTCCTCCTGTGACTTTACGTGGCCAGCATTGAGGTGTCTGTATAGATGACAGAAGGAAGCCTGGCTGGAGATAAATTGAAAAAGTAAATTGAATTTTACTAGATTGTTCAGAAAATAGAACAGGAGCATAACTCTTGCAGGTCAAGGGAAATAGAGACAAGAATCTATTCTTTTCTGCCTCTCCATCTCATTGTAATTGGCATTTCTGCTGATCTTAGGATCTTGTTGCTTTAAACACTCCTGTTAATAAATATTAGCTCATAGTCTACCCAAGAGAATGAAGTCATTTTCACAAAAACAAAAGCCTGTAAGATATCCAGAACCAGGAGCAGTGACAACTGTTACTATCCATACTATCTGATCCAGTTTACAGAATGCTTGAGATTATAATAATAAGCATTCTTAATGATTTTACTAATATGTAAGTGAGTCTTTTGCTATTTAATGTATGCTTAAAATATTCACTGCTTCTCATACAAATCATTTGTATATGTGTTTGTAAGTAGATAAAGAGGAAAGTAGACATTAGTTTATTTAGCTATTTATAGTCATCTATTAAGTAATCTTTTTTTTGCTAAGCACTATCCTAAGCACCAGTGGTCTTATGGTAAGACAAGCAGCCTGGGCCTCTGCTTTCATTAGACATAGAATTTACTATTGGAGTAGGAGAAAGGCATTTGCAATGCTTCAGTGAAATTTTCACATAAACTAGAAGGTTTGAGCTTGTCTTACAAGAATATATAACAAAGGAATTTCAGTGTGTTGAAGGCAAGAGCTTTCTTCCAAAGTCTTCCTTGATGGAATAGTGCTTCATCAGCATCTGTAAATGGATCAGACAACAGCCAATTCATAAAGGAGAAAACTGTGTGAAAAGTCACTGATAAAGAATAGCATGACACAATTCTGTGGCAAGAGGATTATTAAAACTCTAAAGATTCAATGAATACCTCCCAAAATGGTGAATGAGCTTCATTCACTTTGGGGGAGAATATGAGTAACCAAGGGAGAATGAAAGTAGTAAGGCAGTAGCAGCCAAAGAAGAGCAAATACTCTTTTGTTTGATAGAATTTGATATTGATTTATATCTAATCTTGTATTTGATCTTTACTTTGAGTGCTGAATAACTATTAATGCTAAATAGAACCTAAATGTACTCTCTAGTATCCCTCAACATTTGTAATAGCTACTTTCAGGTATTCCGACACCCTACAGTGTTTACTCAGTATGTCCTGTCTTGCTTAAGGCAGAGGGAATGATAAGGCACTGAAGTCCTTGTCATACATGCATAAGGTCCAAAGTTCAATTTCTCAAACTCATATTAGAGAAAAAGCAAAAGTATGGTGATATGCATTTGAATCCCAGCACTCAAGGCAGAGGTAGAATTCTGAGCTTAATGACCAGCCATCGTAATATAAGGGTTGAGCCCTGGGCCAGTGAGAATCTCTATCTCAAAGTTTAAGGACTGTGACTAAGGGAGAATGAAATCCAAGGTTATCCTCTGGTCTTTACATATACACATACATATGAGTACATGCACACACACACACACACCACACAGAAACGCACACACACACTATATCTAACTCAATCTCTTTATCTCGCTATGTAAAGTCACCTGAGATACAAATCTTACTTAGTTTATCTTTGCAATCTAACTCTTTTTATTTTAATTATCTGAATGTTATAGATTGAGCCCCTCATTTAGTAATTTTTAATTAGGTAGAATATATATGGTACATAATACTTAAGATATCATGAAGGATTTGAGAATACGCAGAGCCTACTTTTCTCAAGAACGTTTCTATTAAAAAGAATATGTATGGTAGAGAAACCATAATAAAAATATTGCTGCAGAATCAATAGGACACATATATTGGAGGTATCATGGCTAACTAGAATGTCAGTGTAACCACATTCTCTGTTCAAAGAACAATATATAGCAGTGTTCTCAGAAACATGGCCATTCTATTGTTGAGGAGAAAGTGAATAAAATTGATTCAATGTTGACTAAACATAGGTGACACAAAGCTTTCAAGTGGAAACTGAAAAAATTAGGTTGACATCTGGATAATTTGTCTGTAAGACAGGGAACACTCAAGTGTGCGGCAGTATGCAGATTATGGATGACAGTTTGCAGAGTGTTTCTGACATCCAATGTTCTGTAGAATGGCTGGAGGTGGAATGAATTGTCAAAGTGGAACTTAGGCTTGTTCCTATCTGAGGCCAAAATTTGTCTTTTTGCATGCTCTAACCAAGAATGTTCTATGAATAACCACAACTCAGTGCTGAGTAAAGAGTAAGTTTCTAAAGAGCAAATATGGCCAATCCAAAACCAGAAATGGAAAAAGCATATTGTGCCTTTTTGTCATACTCTTCCCAGGGTCAAATTTACTAAATTACTGATGATCCAAATTATTCTTTTATTCTCTCTTCATACATTCTTTTTTATTAGGCAATGATTTCTCTAGGGAAAAACTAATTACATATTAGTTATAAAATTAAAATATACATAAAATCAGAATTATGAATAAAATTGCGTTTATGATAATGGCTTACTCAGTAGGGGCTGAGTAATCTTACAGTGACCATATGCACTCTGCAAACATTCAGAATCTGGTAGCTGCATATTAGGTGCCTCAGTAGTTCCAATCTGAGGGCTTGGAAGAACTGGAAAAGTCCCAGAGAGTTTCTGGTCTTCAGTTCATGAGGAAGTTCAAGCATACTGGAAGGTAATCTCTGTCAAGGATGGCAGTCATGGCAGCAGCAGCAGCAGCAGCCACACCATAGATGCAGTCACTCAGAAAGAAGCAAAGACAGGCAGCACTGCTTATTCCTTTCACCTCTTTCTATCTAGTCAACTCCTTGAAATGTGCCTAAAACTGTAATGTCTTCCCCATCAGAAAAGTCCTGGAAGTCACCCTCACAGACATATCAGAATCTACCTTGCATGCTGACAATGAAGTTGAATCATCATGTCTTTCTTTAAACCACCCCTGTTGGTAAAACATGGTCTAATAAGTGGGAGCAAATACTGTTACTCTTGTTTTTAGTCTTCAAGCTTGTGGATATAAATGCCCAAAATACAAAGGGTGCCGTGAGTAGTTTTTGTTTTTATTTGTTTTTCCTCCCAGCTCTTTCCTTTTCCAAGCCTGTTGCTTTGGTAGGATTTCCTAAACATTCTTTAAAATATCTTAACAGTTAGATACACCTCAATCTTGGAAATAGAAAGTGGTAGGAAAAGTTATGCTGATTGATAGTCTAGAGGAAAAGAGGAAGTGATGGCAATAAGTTATAGGCAAGTCCTTGAAACCTTGATAAGCCAACTTAATTAAGGACCATGGAAAGCAGCAGGAAGCATTTGTGGGCTTTGGGAAGGATAACCGCTTGATATCTCCATTTTGTAACAGTAAAGAAAATGAATGTGTCAGAAAGAAGCAGCTACATGAGGAGACCATGGAGTTATCAATTTGACATGGTAAACCAACAGTGTAGAGACAGTGTGTATTTTTGCATGAGGACAGGAAAAAATATCAAAACCAGCCTCCTTCATCCCTTCCTGTGTTTGTACACTGATAAAAAATTGAGTCTTTTAAAATTATGAAAGTGAACATGCTTAAAAACTCTTTCTTTTCTTTTGTTCTGTGTAGCCTCTTAAACTGTAAGAAGTTCTATTTCTATATTAATTCAGGGCAGACCAACATGGAGTCCGCCATCTCATGAATTTTGGTAATGAAGAGTGAGACCTGTAGCATTTAAAGAAAGCAGATTGCTTTTCTAATTCTGCAATGAAAGCTTTGGATCACATACAAGAAAAAGGGCTTTAAAAGGAAAAATAATGGTTGAAGAAATTTGAGAAATAGAGAATAATCTTTGCTCCTGTAGAATTTTGGGGGATTCTAGGGTATAGACAACCTTAAAGCAAATATTTTGGAAAATATCTGGCCACCTGTCCCATAAGTTACTTGCATTCATTTGACATATCTATAAGGCAAACTAATATGGAAATATTAAGCTACACAAAATAGGGATGTCCTATGATCTTTTATTGAAGGATTAATCTCTTACATGAGAAGTCAAGAAAGCCAAGAACCAGAGAGGGAGGACTGATGAGCATAGGGGTCAAGACTGGGCTTGTTTAACCCACAACAACAGCTGACCTGAACAAGGGGGAGCTCTTGTACATGATACAGATGGCTGGGAATCCAGTATGGGACTGATCCAGACCCTCTGAATGTGTGGATGTCAGTGAGGAGACCTTAGCAATCTATGGGGCCTTGGGTGGTAGATCAGTATTTATCCCTGGCATACAAATGGACTTTGGGTGCCCATCCCATAATGAGAGATGCTCTCTCATCCTGGACTCTTGGGGGAAGGGCCTAGGCCCTGCCCTGGATGAAATGACAGACTCTAGAGATCCCCCTTTGAGGGCCTTACCCTCCCTGGGTAAAGGAGTGGGTATTGTGGGAGGGGGAATGGGGATTGGTGGGAGGGTGTGGGAGGAGGGGAGGCAGAGTGTGAGGGAGCTGGGATTGACATGTGAAGCAACCTTGTTTCTAATTTAATTTAAAAATAAAAAAAAGAAAATTTTTAAAAAGTAAGTCAACAAGCAAAGGTATGCATGGTGCTCTCCAGGACACAACAGGAACCCAAAGAGCAAGCTTCTCCTCCCCCTAGCTCTTTTATCCCCCATATGTTGTATGTACCTGTGGCCACTCCTAAATGGGCTTGGTTAGTGCTATGGGTACATAAGATCTCTCCCTACAGCAAGCAATACTTCTTCTTTGATCCACATCTTTAAATTACTCCAAAGCTCTTGAATATGCAATCTTGATATTCCTAGCTCCAAAAGTTTATCATCTTTCTCCTACTATCACTTGTAATTATTTTCTCTGTTACAAGCTAAACATTGGTAGGAAGTAAACTTTTACATGATTCTTTTTGGCTGATGTCCGAGAAGTGAATGTGTGTAAAATGGTGCAG